AGACAGGGTTTCTCTGTGTGGCTTTGGAGCCTATCCTGGAACTCGCTCTTTTAGACCAAGCTGGTCTCGAACTCACAGAGATCCTCCTGTCTCTGCCTCTTGAGTGCTAGGATTAAAGGCATGAACCACCACCGCACAGCCGAAGTGTCTGATTCTTTTCTGAATTCTTCCTGAAGGATTCAGAGCCTTTGCAAAACTTAGTAATGAGAGAACCTGGAAAACCAAGAGGTCTCATGCTTAGGAATTGCTTGGGCAAATGGCTCCTTCAAATGATTCTAGATAAGAGGTTTTGGTATGTGGAAATTGCTTGCTTAAAGGTGTAAATCCTGCAGGCAGGCAGTGGTGATGTACACCTTTAATCCCAGCACTTGGGAGGCAGAGGCTGAAAATCCATATGAGTTCAAGGCCAACCTGGTCTACGAAGCAAGTTCCTGGACAGCCAGAGCAGGAGAACAGAGAAACCCTGCCTGGAAAAACAAAAAGATGTAAGTCCTGTAACAGTAAAAAAATCTTTTTGCAGAGCAGTGTGCAGTCAGTTCCCAGGAAGCTGATCCCCCTGCTTCTGCTAAGTCTAAATACATCCTAGAGTGACCCTTTTTCTTCCAAGGACCCACGCAAACAGAACACTGACAATCTTCCTTCTATTCTGGTAGAAGACCTGGAAGCTAAACTAGCCATCTACTAACTTGTAGGACAGAATGGAAACTCAGAGACAACTGGGAGATGAAGAAAGGTAGAAATCCTTCAAAATGCAGGGAAAGGCTCAAATTATTCTATAGTTTGATTTGCTGTATATATGATTTCTTTCTCTCTTTTCAAGTTTTTTTTCATTGAAGTGTTAAGGATCACAAACACTCTCAGCTGTGCACTAAATAAGTGCTTTACTCCTGAGTCCCGCACACAGCCCCTCACTGGGGGATTCTAGGCAGGTTCTGGACCTCTGTCTCTAGATTCTCTTTCTACTTTTTATTTTTTTAAGGTCTTGCTGAGTAATCCAGACTGTTCTTGAAATCCCTCTAAGCCCAGAATGCCTGGAACCATGATTCTCCTCGCCCTGCTAGGCCCAGCAGGATCAATCTCCTTTCTTTGCAAGCTAGGTATGAAATGCAGGGTACCATAAATGCTAGTCATGTCTTCCACAGAGCTACACTTTCAGATCAAAAATAGGATTTCTTTTTAGCAACAGCATTCTAGGAATCCAGGAAAATCTGACCTCTGCTGATAAACAGATTGTGTCTGGAAACAACTGGAAGGTCCTAAGCCATCAGCTTTATGTTTAGAACCTGAACTGTTCAAAGTAAAAGTGGGTGGTTGGAGTGTGGGCCTGGAGCTTATATCCAATCTTGGTGCTCACCTGAGTTCTTGGCTTCCTCACTGTCATGGCATGACCAAGCTGTATGGAAAGCTTCCATTGCTACAGACCAGATTGGTTCAGCCTCTGTGCCTTCCCCACCTTGATGGACTGACAGATCTCATACCCTAAGCCAAAATGAACCTTCCCCTCAGTTAAATGGCCTCTGTCAGACCTCTGTCAGACGTTTAGTCACAAGAATAGTAAAAGTAGCAAATATAGCTGGAAATAACTTGGGGCTGGATACAACTTGGTGGCAGAGCACATGTTTAGCAGTCAGGAAGGCCAGGCTTCCTTTTCTAGCACCAAAAATCAAACATCAAAAGAACTAAGGCCTGAGAATATGGGCCTGTGACCTCAAGGCTGAAACCCAATCCCTTGGCTTGGTTGTTAAGGAGTCTGAATGTCTTCGAAGCAGGGTGAAAAAAAGCTTCAGCTCTAGGGTCCCCTTCCCAAGGTTGCTGCACAGGCCCCCAGCACTTGGGCATGTAATGCCTCACCTGAGCCATGCCCTTGGTGCCAGTCACATATGCTGTGTTGGGGAGTTTGAAAGTGATGCTACAGGTGAAGCTGCCGTGGAGCCCTCCTGGGTACTGAAGAAGCACACTGACAGTGCTGTCCACACCTGTAAGGGAAGCACAGGTCAGTACAGGGTGGGGGCAAGGGCAAGTCCTGGGACAGACTGCACAGGCCTCCAACCTTGGCCCATACACTTGGCCTTTTTGTTGTTTTGTTTCATTTTATTTTTGTTGCTTTTGCTGGGTTCTGTTAATTTGTTTGAGACAGAATCTCCCAGAGCTTGGCTCATGCCAAACTTCTTAGGGATTAGACAATTATCTATGGATCCTCCTGCCTCCACTTCCCAAGAGCTGGGATTACAGGCAGACACCATCATGCTTGACTGAATAGCTTTGGTTTTCAAGTTTTTATTTTATTTATTTATTTATTTATTTATTTATTTTTTGGTTTTTAGAGACAGGGTTTCTCTGTGGCTTTTAGAGGCTGTCCTGGAAATTGCTC